GGCCCGCATGGCGGGTGGTTATCGCGCCTCCACCAACACCAGCCGTATTCAAGAGAGGCCAGGAGCTGCGCGGTGACAGCGCCGGGGTTAACCGTTATCTGTGTTCACGCACCAGGCAGAGCTCGCTTCCCCCTCGCTATGCCTCCGGACCAGCGGCTCGCTGGCTGAGGCTGCTCGCAGGGGCTGCGCCGTGCCGCACACGCGGGGCGTGTGGTCCCGTCTGCTCGGCTGGAGACGGGCCCTGCGTGAGAACGCCGCACAATGGCCTTCTTGCTTCCTCGGTCTCTCTGAAGACGCTGCCAGCACGGGGCTGGTGGGGAGCGGGGCGTGAAGCGGAGTTTGCCGAAAGAGGCAACTTGGAGGATGGCAGACTGCGGTTCTAGCAGCCTTTCCCCAAGCCTCGAGCAAAACCCGCGTCTCTCCGTTCAGGTCCGGTTCGGCCAGCAGAAGCGGTACCAGGACTGGTTTCAGCGCCAGTACCTGTCCACCCCAGACAGCCAGTCCCTGCGCTGCGACCTCATACGCTACATCTGTGGTGTGGTCCACCCCTCCAACGAGGTGCTCAGCTCCGACATCCTGCCACGCTGGGCCATCATCGGGTGGCTGCTCACCACCTGCACGGTGAGTTGCAAGGGCCAGACCCGAAAGCGAGTCATGTAATCTGGGACACCTTCCCTTGCAGAGAAGGGGGCAACCTGCCGATGCTGGAAGCTGCCAGGGAGGTTGGGGTTAGGTATTTGCTGGCTGAGCTGACAGAGGGAGTTGCAGAGCGGTGGTTAGGACATCAACCTCTGTTCTGTGCTCTGGATTTTAGTCCTGGCTCTGCTGCACGTTGGATCCTGCGGGATCTGCTTTCCCAGCATAAACCCCACCTTCTCACTTTCAGCTTCTCCTGCCCTTTGTTTCTGCTTTAAGTTTATGGCCCGTCTAGAAGGCGTGGGGCCTCTCCTGTCCCAACGGGGTGCGAGAGTGCGTGCAACGAGATGCCTCGTTACAGCCTCGCTGGCTTCCACTCTCTCCGCTCAGCCCGTTGTCCCTTGTCCCACCCAGGACTGCAGTCCGCAGCACTTGTCAAACAGAGCAGAAGCAGCCGGGGAAATGGCTGTTGCTGTGCCTGTGAACGCACGGCAGATAATGCCAAGGGATGTGTGGGTCCCGGTTAGACACGACGTGGGGTTGTAACCAGGCTGCGCTTTACAGAGCCCATGGTCTTGTATCTCCCAGCCTTGGGGCTGCCTTGGCCTCTGCCGCTCTGCGTGCTGCTGTGGCTGGAGCTGCTTTCAAAGCAGGCAGGTTTGCTCAGGAATTTCCCACCCTCTCTGAAAACTCACTCCTGCGCAGCGGCAGCAGCAGGGACTGGGGGGTTCGCCAGCTCGGCCCTATCCCGCTGGTGGGAAGAGCATCCCCAGCCCCCGCCTCGCAGCAGCAAGGCCTGGCACGTCAGGCGTGCAGAGGGGACGGGGGCTCAGCGCCGTATTCATCAGACAATTTGTATTTTTCTTTTTTTTTCCTTCTCTAGTCCAATGTTGCTGCTTCAAATGCCAAACTGGCCCTGTTCTATGACTGGCTCTTCTTCAACCCCGAGAAGGACAGCATCATGAACATAGGTACTCCAGGGAGGGTCTTCCTCTGAATGGGCAAGGGCTGAAGAAGGGGTTAATGCCTTCCAGAGCTGGTAGAGGCAGGGGGATCTGGTGGGGGAAGCACAGGGATTATCTCCAAAGGGCATCAGTTCCCTCCCCTGCCCGGACTCCTGGGATTTGCTGGCTTGCAGGAGCGCTGCTTCGAGCGAGGCACTTTTAATTGTGGCTTTCCTATCTGTGGTAGCAGCCAGCGCCTTCCTTGAGGTCCGTGGCTGGCCCCAGAGCGTCCCTGCCCATGGGCAGGCAGGCTGCCCGGCTGCAGGGCTGTGCCAGGGCACGCCAGCGAGGACTGGTACAGCCGGCGGCATTGCTGGGAGCTCCTGCCTGCAGGGAAGTTGGTTCTGGCCACCGTTTGAAGCCTAAGCGTTATTTAGGAGCTGGATGAGGGCAAGGGTGTGTAGAAGCCAGAAGAAGGTGGTTCCCTCTGCGCCCCAGGGGCAGGAGGCTGAGTCTGCAGGAAGGGGGTATGGGCATCTCTGGGGCTCTCAGCTCCCTGCTCTCTCCTTCCAGAGCCTGCCATTCTGGTGATGCATCACTCCATGAAGCCTCATCCTGCCATCACTGCCACGCTGCTGGATTTCATGTGCCGGGTGAGCTGCCCCTCGCTCTCTGGGGAATTACCCGGCTTACCAAATGAGTTGTGTGACGGGGGTTGACTGAGGAGGGCTGTGAAAGCAACCGCTGGGGTCCACGCAGTCCCTCTGCCACCAGCGGGACAGAGAGACTCCTCAGGAGTGTCAGCGGAGGACAGTGTAGAGGGAAACGGCCGCGCTCTCGTCTGCTTGCACCAGCCCGGCTGTGCAGAGGTCACGCTCCAAAGAGAGCTGGTCAGCGTGTCAGCCTCGGGGGCTCGTTTTAGCCCCGTACGCTTCTCCGTGGTGCAGAGGAGTGGAAGTGGAATCTTCTCCCAAGTAGTTAGCGATAGGACGAGAGGAAATGGGCTCAAGCTGCGCCAGGGGAGGTTTAGGTTGGATATTAGGAAAAATTTCTTCACGGAAGGGGTGGTCAAGCATTGGAACAGGCTGCCCAGAGAGGTGGTGGAGTCACCATCCCTGGAAGCGTTCAAAAAACGGGCAGAGGTGGCACTTGGGGACATGGTTTAGTCTAGTCTACCCTTGACTGGTTTAGTGTGGCCTTGGTAGTGTAGGTTAATGGTTGGACTGGATGATCTTAAAGGTCTTTTCCAACCTAAACGATTCTATGATTCTAAGTGTGCTGGCCGGGAGGTGCTCCCTTAGGGATTGCAGCCAGGCCCTTCAGCCCTGCTCTCCTCCCCACCACCCATCGCTGGTGCAGCAGCACGTTGGTGTAGGTCAAGTGCTTTTCCTTCCCTGCCAAGACAGAAGCTGGGAGCAGCCGAGTGGTGAGCCGCACAGCCTGCTCCCTGCAGGCCCCCCCCTTGCTCTGTGCTGACTGGTCGTGAAGCGCAGGAATGGTAACGCAGGCTCAGGCAAGACATCTGTCTTCACTCCCCAGAGAGTTTCGGGGCAAAGGCCCGTTGCCTCTCCGTCCCACAGGAAGGGAATTTCATGAATCCCTAGAGATACTGGAACAGCGGAATAGTGTCATCTCGCTGCCCATTCTTCAGAGCCAAAAAAAACCCCAAAACAAAACAAAAAAGTTGATCCCCTTTCTTTTTTTTCCGCATTCCTCGGCACATCATCTGGTTTGTTCTGCCCTGAGCCTCTTGATTGCGAAATAGCCTGCAGAGTAGCTCGGTATCTGCTGGCAGCCCTTTTAACCTCCCCTTACCTATGCTAAATTAAGGAGGGATTTTCCCCTTGCTGATCTGCCAAGAGCACAGTCAGGCACACTGCTGCGGACACTCAGCCAAATTATTCGCCTCTTAAAACCAGCCACGAGAGGCTTTGGTGAGTCCTTGCGGTCTCTTGATAAATCCAGGGCCATTCCTGGAGGTTGGAGCGCTGGGCCCATGTGTCATTCATTAGTGGGAATGCCACTGCAGGAACACATGTAAGACTTCCCAACTCTGCAAGTAAATCCTTCCAGAATGATGAGCACAAGTAGGAAAAAGGCTTCTGAATTGTTGCCTTTAGTACCTAATGAAATGCTTGGCCCAGTGTCATTCCCCGAGGGCAAACAGAATCTCGCTGCAGCAGGGGACAAGTCAGACCCATCATCTCCCTTTCAAGGGACAGCTCTCCTTGGGCAGGGAGCAGAGCTGGTCCTGCCCCGAGGTCCTGAGCAAAGCAGTGCCAAGAGTTGCTGGTTCCAGTAATTTGGTCCCAGGGAGGGCTGATGGTGTTTCTTGGAAGCGGGGTCCTTCCGTGGCATGAGTGCTGGAAGAGCTGCGAGTTGCATCACTTCCCTCCCTCACGCCCAGCACGCTCTGTGTGCTCCTGTCCCCAGGCTGCCCGAGTCCAAAAGCAGCTGCTGGTTTCTGGCAGAGGAACTAGGTGGAAGGTTCCCGGGATGACCCAGATTTCAGGGAGGAGTCCTTTTACTCCCTCCAGAAGCAAAGGACTGTGTGTGCACAGAGCTGAATGTTGTTTGGGGTGCCCTTCTCGTATTCCCCCCGCTCCTGCAGCGGTCGCTGCTGCTTGGAGCATGGCCCTGGCAAGCTCCAGGACTTCTCGCAGCTCACGAGGCAGCATCCGTGTGTTTTTCTCATCCCTGGGAGATGCAGCAGCTGGCCCGCTGCGGTAGCAAAGCCAGAGGCATGGGCTGGTTCCCCCTCTGTCCACCGTCCCCGAGATGCTGCACTCGGAGCTCTCCTGCTGCCCCTCTTGGGGAAGAGCAGCTGGGATGCGGGGCTGGAGTCGAGGGTGACCCAAGAAGCTGACTGATGGCCTTAGCTACTAGTCCTGGCTGCGTCCTGCCAGCTGGCACGGGCCTGGTGGGCAGGCAGAAGGGTTCATGGCACTAACGTGGTCGTTCTCCTGTTTTCAGATCATTCCCAACTTCTACCCCCCACTGGAGGCTCACGTCCGGCAAGGCGTCTTCAACTCCCTCACCCACATTGTGGAGAAGCGAGTCCTTGCGTAAGACAGCCCTGAATTTTACTGCATTTATACGACTGCTGTGCACCAGTTTTCCTGGGCCTCACCAGCCTAGTCAACACAACCTCCAGGCTCTGTAAGAGCTGCGGAGGGTATTTGTGTTGTGTATGAACCGTGGAAGAAGCCGTAGCTGTGTCTTCATGCTGCTGAGGCTTGTCCTGAGAGCTGTTCCTTGAAGCGAGGGAATGGGTGGGTTAAGAAAGCCATAGCCGCTCCACGACAGATGAATAGAAATGTCCCCAAGCTGAACGGAGCAGCCTTGCTCATGGTGCTCCAGCCTGCAGACAGCTCCTGCATCAGCCCAGTTCCCCTCCCAGGAGGTCAGACCCCTTCTTCTCCCCTTCCCATGTGCCTTCTGGTGACACAGGTCCCACTGGTGGCGGTGAGGGAACCCCAGCTGAGCTGCAGGAAGGAAGGGGGACCTCGTAGCTTGTGGCCCGTAATGCAAACCAAAGCCCTGACGTAAGGGAGGAGATCCCCTTGCATGTCCGCTGAGGCGAAGCTAGGCAGCAGGGCACCGCGTCGCAGCTCTTTCTCATCGCTTTCCCTTCCTACCCCCCAACGCAGACATCTGGCCCCTCTCTTCGACAACCCCAAGCTGGACAAAGAGCTCCGCGCCATGTTGAGGGAGAAATTCCCGGAGTTCTGCAGTTCGCCCTCGCCGCCCATCGAAGGTAGGGAGCGGGGCGGGTGGCGGAGGGAGGCTGCGTTTTGAGACGGGGCTTTCCCCGGCTCTCCTGCAGCCATAGCAGCCGTTCGGAGGTCGGGCTGGGGCTCCAGGGACAGGAGGGCTCTAGGTGCCCCTATTTATGGATGGTTGTGGTCTCCCTTCATCTCGGCCCTGCCGTATGCTAAAGGTGCGCACTGCCCGTTACTCTCTCTGCTCCATAGGGGCCTTTCTTCTCTGTAGGCTAATTGATTAACATAATTAGGTTAAACAAAGAGCAAGCATTTCTAACCTGTATTTAACAGAAGAGTGCTGCCGCTTTGCCAGATCTGCTGAAGGACTGTGCCTGTGCGCCTGGCTGGTTTTCCTGTTGCCATCAGCTGCTCTGGCTGAAGGGACGCACGGGACCAGCAAACCCTGCTGCCCCAAGCTTCTCGGCCTCATGGAGCTGGCAAAGCTGTTGCTCTGCTCAGGGACTCGGGCTCTGCTCTTGGCCTGGGCCGAGGGATGAAGCACAAAGGATGCTGGGCAGCTTGGGTGGAGAATGAGCCAGTCCTGCTGCGCCGGGTAGGGATGGTTAAATGGAGTCGCTGGGAGTGCCCGTCCCCAGCTTGAGTTTTCCAGGGTCCCTCACTTGCCCAGACTCTTTCTTCCCTTTTCAAAGCACTTTCATCTCCTTGCTGGAGCCTGTTTGTCGGTAGAGGCGACTCGCAGGCAGAGCCTGCCCTGCCACTCGGCTGTGCGAGGAGCTGTTGTAACCTCGCTTTCCGCTCTGACCCCTTTGCCTACGTTCTTGCAGTCAAAATTGAGGAACCCGTTTCCATGGAGATGGACAATCATATGTCAGAAAAGGATGACAGTTGCTATGACAACGCCGAGGCCGCGTTCAGTGACGACGAAGACGACTTGAACAGCAAAGGTGAGGAGTGCAGTCAGCTGGGCGCCGATGCTCCCAAGTACTTCTGCATCGCCGCAGTGTGAATAGCTGCCGCTTGCCTCTGCGCCGGACAGTGTTTCCCCGCTGGCTCGTGGGCACCTTCCCTTCATGATGGAGGATCCCCAGACAACCAGCTGTAAGCACAGTTCCCTCAAAGCCCCTTTCCCACGAGCAGCGGGAATTGCTGCGCTCGAGGCAGGCTCCCTTCTTGAGATCCAGCTTTCCTTCTGCAAGAGAGGGTGTTGAGGCCGGCACTCTGCTGCTTCCCAGGCCCTGACAGCCAGGCTCAGTAGATCTGAGACAGATCTGTGCTCAAAGGGAAAGGCTGTTGGGCTTCATCTCCTTGCCTGGTTATTCCCTAGAGCTTAGACCCTTCGAACGTAGCGCTTTCTCCAGCCATGTGTCCTCTCTAGATGTCTGACTAGTCTCAAGCCCCGCTGCGCTGCATGGTTGGGAATCCCTGTGGCAGATGCTGTGCCGGATGGTTTGTTTGGGAACAGGGTGTCTCTGTTCTCAGGCAGCTGCTAATGAGGCTCAGGCCTCTAATTGCCCAGCCACATGGTTTTCATTATGCTCCCTCTCGAAGCCATGGGGCTGACAAGACTGCGCAAGGCCAGAATCCCCTCTGCTCGCTCTCTGGAGCTGGAGGCATCTCAAGCTGTTCCTGGCCTTGGTGGTTGGACTCTTGTGGGCTTCCTGCCATGCCGGAGGGCTATGGGGAGGGGCCGCGGGCCCAGGCTGGGGGCGAGGATGTGACGCTGTGCTGTAGCACTGTCTGCAGTAGTCCCGTCGAGCCCTGCCAGCTGCGTGGGGCCCCCGAGAGGGACACAGACTCGAAAGCCATGTGCAGAGAGGATTTTTGCAAAGGGGATCGGCCACCCTGTCCCGTCCCTTAGTGGCAGCTTCTTTGCAAGTGCTTCTGCCTTGGCCCTGGTACTTCTGGACTCTGCTGCGGTTCATTTTTGTGGCCTGAAATGAGCCTGGAGGATGAGGGTGTGGAAAAGCAGTTGGGGTATCTCAGTCCCAGAGTCCTAAACACAAGCATTTGTGCCTCGGGTGGAGAGAGACGCGCGAGCTAGCTACGTGCATTGAGCATGTTGAAGGAAGGACAGGCAAAGTGTTGGGTTTGGGAACTGGACTGAACGGGAACCCCAATTCTGGACAGCCCCTGTGTTTGGATCCCATCCCACCTTCCTGCCCACCGTGACCCGGACACATCTCTAAAGGGTGAAGGCAAGATCTGAGGCCGGAGCGCACGCTGGGAGCACGCTGCTCGTCCCTGGGGCGAGAGCTGCCCCCGCGGCCCCGCACAACTCCTGCTGCTGGGACAGAGATTGCCTCTGGTGCTTAGGTGTAGCTGCTTGGGAAAATAGACTATTCCACTGTTGCTTTCTTTGTTGCAGGGAAGAAAAGGGAGTTCAGGTTTCATCCGATCAAAGAAACCATTGTGGAGGAGCCTGTTGATATTACGCCGTTCCTGGACCAGCTGGATGAGTCACTGAAGGATAAAGTCCTGCAGCTGCAGAAGGGAAGGTTGGTGTCGTTTGGTCGTGTTACATTTTGTGCTGATCTCTTCAGGGCAACAACGCACAAGACCTTTTAGTCCTGTTGTACAACGCTGCTTGCTCCAGAGCCCTTCTCTTGGAGCTAATGCGATCTTGTGGCTTGTCTCCCTTTAACACGGAGAGGTCCTCCTGCACGGTTCCTGCAGGAAAACATCCAAGTGGTTTTGAAAGGTGCTGGGTTAAAAGCCTTGTAATTAGTCCTTGGAGCAGGCTCAGAGCAGGACACACCAGCAATTTGCTGGTGGCTACAGCATTTCTATGAATCAGTGACAGGAAGGCAAAAGGCTCCCAGTTTCATCCTTCTTGGCTGTTGGACTGGCAAGGGGAGGCTGCGTAGGCCTTTGGGGCCATTGCTGCCCGGGGGCTTCAGTACATCTCTGCATGGGACGCGTTCCCTGCGCGCAGAGATGTACCTGTGTCCGCACGTGCTCTGGACTTCCCCACCTCCACTCTTGATTTTCAGCAACCTTGAAATTAACTCCATCTAGAGAAGGTTAAAAAAAGCTCTTGCTTTGCAGACCTCAGCACAGGAGACTGCTTTAATGTAATTTATGTCTTTATGGCTTTAAGTTCATTTAATCTTAGGCTTTTAGTTATTTAATTTGTTTGTCTTGCTGCAGGCGACCTCAGGCGCTTTTGTAAGTAGGTGCTGCAGCAGTGAAACGCATTCTTCCAGGGCTGGGTCTCTGCAGTGTGTGCTTCTGAGCCGTGCCTTCCTCTAAGCCTGGCACCAGCACAAAGCGGAGCCTCCCCCACTCCCAGGTCCTGGGGGCTCCCGAGCAGAGCCAGCTCAGCACAAAGCCCCCTTGTCCCTGCTTTCGGTATCTTCCTATGTAACTTGGATTTCCTCTTGTTTTTGTGCTCCAGCGATACGGAAGCTCAGTGTGAGGTCATGCAGGAAATCGTGGATCAAGTCCTGGAGGTAACTGCACAGAGCCGGGGAGCAACGCTGCTGCCCAACTCTAAAACCAGAGCAGCTGGCGCGGCGCGGGCAGCGC